CACACTCAATTCAAAAACCCTAACAGCATTTGAGGGTATTCTCTAAGCAATTTCATAGCTAGGATTTTTAGCTTGAAAAAAGTGTGAACCGTTGTCTTCAAAGTTGCATCTATGATTGATTACTAGACTTGTGCTATGTGTAACTCATGGTTTGTATAAAAGCAGCACACAAAAGAAGAAAAAAGTAAAGCTTGTTTTGTGTGTTATAAAGACAAATGCACAAAAGAGAAAAAGGTAAATCTAGTTTTGTGGGTTTTAAACTTTAAAGACAAACTTTTGGGCAGAGTTCCCGAAATGGGTTTAGGTTTGTGTGTTTGTATGGGTTTACCACAAACAAACCAATCACATTTCTGGTCATTGGCTCGGTCCTCTATAGTCTTAATTCGCTTCCTCTTTTTTTGTTTTTTATGGCAAACATCATTAATTACGAATTTATTATTAACACTCTTACAAGTTACACGCATCATCATCGTCCACATATACACATTTATACATACAATATAGCTTAATAATTGAAATGAGAAATCATTGTTGTAGAAATCTATACAGTCGTGATGAAATGTGTGGCCCATTGATGGTCTATAAGACCAGTCTCCTTGTGAATCTTTTAGTGTATAGAGAGAGTCACTATTGATCTAAAAGCCTACGAGATCCAATTATATAGGCCTCAACCACGTGACCAGCACAGAAGACACGTGACTCCTATCGGTTTTGTCGTAAACCCACGTGACAAGATTTTATATAACCAGATTTAAGATATTAATTTCGCCATGGCCTTTACCCAACATTTTTTTTGTTTTTTAAATATACCTGAAAGTATAAACGACCCGACAACTTATTCACTTTTGTTTTTAAAAACCAAATAAATAAAATGAACATTGGGCATTCCAAACTAAAAACGAACCAGATTAATAAGAAGCCCAGTAGAAGGCCCAATAACACCAAACGGTGTCGTCTGGTACGTGCCTGTGACTCTCGCTGTGCAAACTACAAACACTGCTTTTGCTCCCGAACCCCGAAGCAGCGAGATAGAGTCATAGAGAAGAGTGATTCATGTTATTTTCTTCATGAAGTTTCCGAGGTTGTTTTCTCTGTGTCACGATCATTACAAAACAGAGTGAGATGATGTACTGATGATGTTTAAATTCACAAATATTACCTTGTGTGATGTTGGTCGAGAGCATCTGATCGATGTTATCAATACGTCTCTGTATAGATTTAAGCACAAGATTCAATGATGATACTTTTTGTTTGACGCTTGAGATTCTCGATGCGTGTTGCACTATGAATGGTAATGGAGCGTTTTCCAACAATTGATCAAGCTCTGTATTTTTTTCATCACATACATTCAAACAACCAAATTGTGTCACAAAAGGTTAAAAATATATTCTCAAGAATCAAAATTTAAACAGTTTCCGGATCAATTAGCAACCACTGTGTCAGATCAGAGTAAAGGGCAAAATCATGGCTATAAAAAAAACTCAATTTGGATTGAATTGATCTATAAACATTCTAATTTCAAGGAAAATAAACAAAAAAAATCGGAGAAGACGATGAAGAAATCGATCGATTTATAGTTACCTTGGACTAACCGATCGAGCGAATTGGAGAGTTGGTTTTGGCTATTCAGCGTATCATTGGCTTTAGAGTCGAAGTCCTTAATAACAGACTCGAGCATCGCGGATAAGCCTCGAGCTAAAGCTTCTCCACCGCCGGAGATACCGCCTTCTCCGGTGGTTGACGATGAGCTAGTCGCATCGGCTGAATCGCGGCGGTTCGATTCCATTATTTTTCCGGTGAGGTTGAAATGTTGGATTTTTAAGGTATTTGAAGGGAAAAGGAGTCTTGTCTTTAAAATGACGGAAATACCCCTGAGTGGATACTTTATTTTCCAATAAGGTTTAGGGTTTTCTACAATTGTGTATATATATATTTAACGTTGCCTTCGTTTCTCAGATTCGAGCTACAGCGAAAAGATGAGGGCAAAGGTAATACTATTTTCTTCTTCTTTGAAATTCATAGTTTCTGTTTCTTCGTTATAGATCTGGCTTTTAGGAGCATTTGATTATGTGTTAGATCGGAGAATTTTGGTTAGTGTAGCACGAACTGAAGATTCGAATGAACCTTTGATTTGGAATAGGATTGAGATTGTTGCTTAGGGTTTCGTGATGGGTTTTAGCTCGTTTTGGGATTTTAATTCTGCGATACGAAATGAAAGTTTTTGGGTGAGATTAAACTGTTGTGTGTCGAGTTACGCGAGTCAGATCGGGGAATTTTGGTGGATCGAACTTTTGTTTTGGGATAGGATTGTGATTTTTGTTTAAGGAAGAGAATGTTGGGATTTTACTCGGTTCTCTAATTGTTGATTCTCAGAATTTATTTGGAAAATTAGTATGAAATGTTAGTTTCTGGCTTGTTAATCTCTCCGAATATGTTCATTTTATGTTTGATCATGTCATTTCTGATGAATTACAAGCCTTTATGTTCAGTTTTGAAACTAAAATGTGGTGCTTGTTTATTTGCAGTGGAAGAAGAAGCGTATGAGGAGGCTTAAGAGGAAGAGAAGAAAGATGAGACAGAGATCTAAGTAAGAAGAAGCTTGAAGAC